GGGCCCCCACCCCTGAGCTACACCCTGCCGTGCCCAGCTCTGCCGGCGTCCGTGCCCCCGCGGCGAGCGCGCCGGGGCTGCCCCCCGAATGACGGGCGGAAGGTTCGACTTCGACGATGGCGGCACCTACTGCGGCGGCTGGGAGGAGGGCAAGGCGCACGGGCATGGCATCTGCACGGGGCCCAAGGGCCAGGGCGAGTACTCTGGCTCCTGGTCGCACGGCTTCGAGGTGGTCGGAGGCTACACCTGGCCCAGCGGCAACACCTACCAGGGCTACTGGGCTCAGGGCAAGCGGCACGGGCTGGGGGTGGAGACGAAGGGCAAGTGGATGTACCGGGGGGAGTGGTCACATGGTTTCAAGGGGCGCTACGGGGTCCGGCAGAGCCTGTCCACCCCTGCCCGCTACGAGGGTACCTGGAGTAACGGGCTGCAGGACGGGTACGGCGTGGAGACCTACGGGGACGGAGGTGAGCAACGTCGCGGGCGGCTCCGCGAGCTAGCGCGGTGGGCTCTCCTGGGCTGCGGGGACGTGGGGAGGACGCGAGGCGCACGTGTCCGGAAACCCGCCAAAACACCTGGGGAGCTTCCCACCCCTCCCGCCACCACCACCACCACCCCTCGGGAAGACTGCGTGGGTACGCGACTGGGGAGCCAGGGTCTGCTGCGATCTGGTTCCCCGAGCGAGCGCGGTGTCCACACCCGGGGAGTTAGGCGTGCATGTACCTGACTGGGGCCAGCGCTGCGCTGCCATCAGGAGGGCTGGGCAGGAGAGAGGACGCTGTCACTTGAGCCCGTCACATTACGTTCCTGATCCCTCCCTCTCCGGGCCGGGTTTGAAATCGCCACTGTTGGTGGCGTTAGATGGACGCCTTGGGCTGCGCGGCTGCCGGTCTGTGCTGACCGCCCCGCGGTTTGGTTTCATGTGGAGTCTCGTATTTCGCTTCTGGTCCTCTAGTTAGCCTAAAGATAGAAGCCAGAACCCCATAAGTAGGATGTTGGGGAGTTGGACCTTATGGAGGGTGTATTTTGAAGTGTCCTAGTTATGGGCAGCGAAGCGACCACCCAAAGCAGGTGAAATTCTTAATTTTCTCTCTAACTTTCATTTGGCTCCGTAAAGTACTTTGAATGAACAGAACTGTAATCTTTGCTGACCTGGAGATCTTTGGGCAAATTATTGATAAAAATGCTTTAGGAAAAAGGCAACAGAATTGCCATTTTTTAAAAAGGAAAAAAATTAAAAAGAGTATAGAGAATGCTATATCCCTGATATACATTAAAGGGTGTGACCTAAACACACCTGGATGCAATTTAACAATGTTTGCCATATAAACTGTGTATATTATAAGTCAGGATTCATTTTTCTCTCTAGGAAGAGCATACATTAGTGAAACAGGTGTCAAAACTTGATTAATTTCTTCGAAAACAAAGTCGAGGGAGACGAATGGCTTATGTTTTGGCAAAGTAATTTTTCTGATAATAAACAGAATCATATTTAATTGAAAAGGGTTGTAGGAGGCTATGTCACCTTTTGGAATTAAGCCGCTTCAGAGTTGGAGGATATTGAAGGGATCCAATTAAAAGTTTCTCCAGCCCACTGAAATCCCGTTATGCGATTGCTTACATAAAAGCTTATACAATTTGTACACTTCACTTGCTCAGAACACTTGGGCCGTGTTTCAAATGCAAAACAGCAGAATGGTAGGATTAAAAAAAAAAAAAGACATCTTTTCACCCTCCAGTATAAATAAAGGCTATGGGTCCCATGGATTAAAGGGGGGAGGGTCTTTATACTTTTCTGTGGACCCTGAGTGCCTTGGTAGTTAACAGGGACCTTGAGGGTTCGAAACTAGCAGAAAATAACTTGTTAACCGCGTTATGAATGTTTGTTTCTGGCTGGATTTTTTTTTTTTTGGAAGCCCTAGCTCTGATATAACAAAATACTATGTTCAACGGTGGAAAAAAAATTTTTATGTGATTGTTGGATAGCCCTTATTTAGAGCATAAAATGGACTTATTTTTATTGTAATCTAATTACAATGTAGGCTTCTTTTAAAAGTTAAAACTCATTAAATGAAACCTGGTGGTTTAGAGTGTTGGTTAGACCTAGTAATCAAACCGCAGAGAGCACGGTAGAAGTCATCGCTGTGTCTGTGCCGCTTGTAAGGCCAAACGCACCTCCCAATGGCTATGAATAATCTGCCTTCTGTTTGAAACCAACTTTGAACATTTTAAAAGACAAAATTCGGCATCACCATAGCACTGTAGATTTCCTTTTCTACCAAAAAAACAACAAAACCCTGGTGTGCTGTAATCAGAACAAAATTTCAACACGCAGTTCACTTTTGCCTGCCTTCTCTGTGCTAGTCCGCTTCTCACGTCACCACGTTTTATTAGAAAGTCCGTGATTTAAAAAAAAAACTGGTCTACACGAAGCTATATTGCCACAGTTTATTCATATAGAGGTTTAGTCCAAGTGGGAGCGTCAGCCCTTTATTCCTAAGCATTAGCTTAATTCTGCCTCCCTTCCCGTGTATTTCGGGTGACAGTAGAGAGGGAAGTCGTAATTCCCTGTGAGAAGTATCACTTTATTTCACTAGAGATTTCTGTGTCAAGTGTTGCTGAAATAGAAACTCTCTAAATATTAAGAACCAAATGTATCATATGCATGAAATTCAAGTCTGGATTCCCAGATTCTTTTGTGCAAATTCCGATCTGCTATACTTTTTTTAAGAGACCTGCTATGGAAGGTTTTTAAAGTTTACTATGGAAGATTCTATAAAGATCCACTTTTCTGTTTATGTGTTTGAGTTGGGGGTCACATGTAGCCCAGGCTAGCTTCAAGCTGAGGATGACCTTGAACTATAAGCATCTCCCTCTCCGGGACCAGATGGGGATGGAATCTGGGCGTCATTCACATCAGACAAGCACACTACCAGCAGAGCGACAACTTCCACCTCATCCATGTGCTTCTGTTTTCTTTTCTTTTTTTTTTAATGGAATTATAGCTGCATATAGCCTTTTAAAGCATATAACGTTGGCACACAGCAGTCCAAGTTTGACTGAAATTCATTCCAATCTGGATGTCGTCCATTACAATAGTGGGCAGTTAAGATGGATAGACCTTTAAAAATCAGTCCTCAAATGAACACAATGTAAACTAAAACCTGGAAAAAAACATCCTTTGTTTTCGTATTAGATACGCACTGGAGTTTAGGGGTGGAAAATAGTAAATCACATCTCCTTTTGAACAAAAGAACTTGGAGACCACCTGCTTCATAAAGAAGTAGGTTCTGTTTTCTAGGTTCACTGATGAAAGCAAACCTCTTTAAAACTTCAGATCAACGACTTAGAATTTGAAAAAGCTGGTTTCTAGTGGTGCTGTGGGTGTCCTGGAGTAACTCTCCCCAATACTGTGATTTCACAGCAACATGGAAGGTGATGGGTACCTTCATTCCTTGTCCCTGCCCTAGTTCATAGCCCCAAAGATATTTAAACTTTCCAATTACTGCTGTTCTTTAAACAGCCCGAATGTTGAAGCTGCTCTTTGGAAAGTCTAACTCTTGGTTTGATGTTGGAGCTGTCATTGGGAGGAAAGCAGGCACTAGATGTCCATCAGAGTTTCGGATCTGCTAAGATGGGATTGTTTTGTTTTAAAAGACTAAATACTTACACCAAATAGCATCTTTCCCAATTATTTTAGCAAACTCATTCTGTAGAAAAGTTAGAATGATAGGAATAGGGCATTTTAAACAATAAACAATAAAATGTTGGTGACTTGTTTTAGTGTATAAGGTTGTATAACTTTCATCATGCTATTTAGATTTTATCTAGGAAAAGTCAAAGTTGAAAGTTTCCAATAATTCATTGTCTTTTCCTATTGGGGCAGCAGTGTTTGGAGATAGCTTTTTTTCAGTAGGAAGCTTATTACCATGAAAAATAAAAAAAAATTAAAAAACACTAACATTTTTTTAGACAGGGTCCAGCTGTGTAGCCCAGACATGGGAGCACATGACCCTCCTGCTGTCTCAGCCTTCCAGGTGCTGGCATTGTGGGCATGTATTCCCATACCCAGCTCCTGCAATGTTTGTATGTAACAGTCTTACCCTGTTTAGAGAGCTGCTGCGCCCCCACCCCCTTCAGGAGTTCATAGGTGTGAAGATCTACTTAGACTATGGCAGTCCTAGTACCAGACCCCTTAATATTTCATTGTTGCCCCATTGTTGTTTGTTTGTATGATATAAAATATGTCAGCACGAGAAGAGAAGGTGGTCTTGAAATTGATCCAAACCTTTGTCTTAGGAACAGTGCCTATTTACACAGTGATATAACACCACTAGCTCGCACGGGCATGGTGGTATGTGCTTGTAATCCCTACGTGTAGAAGCTAATGCAGGAGGAGTGAGAGTTCCGGGCCAACCTGAGCTACGTACTAAGACACCACCTTAAAAACTAACAGTACCCCCAATGGAATTAACACTTTTTGTATTAAAAATAAATATATCCCAACCACTGGAAACCTACAAGGTGATGTAAAATACGAAGTATAATCAAAAGACAGAACAAGATCAACACAGACTATACTCGTGATTTATTTTCCATGACATTGGAAATTGTTATGAACAACACCAAAGTGGTTACATTTACATTTGCTTCCAGATAGCTGTTCTGAAGTCATACTAAGGATAAAAAAATTTCCTTTAATTAAAGGAAATGGCCTTGACTTTGAAAATTCTAAGCTCCTTAGTTTAGTCTTCATTTCCTCCAAAGAATATTCTAAAACCCCTATCAGGTTATTTTTTAAACTTATCTTTGGTTATTAAGTAGAAAAACTCACTGAAAATAAGCTTATTTTATATGTCTATATTATATTCCTATTATATTATGTATTTATACTCTATAGTTAGACTTTTTAAAAGTATAATATTCATTGAGAAAATGTTCTGGATCAACAAAATTTTAATGGACACTGTCGAGTATTCTTCAACGATTTTAAAAATGTTTCTTTCATCCCATCAGTTCTTTCGAGCTCTTTAAACATAGTCTCCAGGCACCCGGAGACCACAAAACACATAAGCCATGAACGAGTCTGAAACATTTGCCTTCCTTTGAGAATCAGTTCCTGCCCTCAGGCATTTGCAGTGTGTGGTGAGATTGTCAGTGCTCTGGCTGAGACTAGGGAGAACCATACAGAGCATGGCCAGGAGAAAGCCAATTTAGCAAGTAATATGCCGCTGTGCCCCCCAACACACTGCTGTCAGGTCCTCAGGACTCAACAGTTTGCCCTTCCCTGAGTGTAGGATGTTTCACGTAGTAAAAGAACCAAGACAGCTCCTTAGACAACTCATGTCCCAAGTATTCTGACCACAGTTACTAGTGATCAACCTTCGTGCTTTTTAAAATGTTGTTCTGGGCATGAACCTCAAAACCATTTTTAGTTCAGTTAGTAAGACTGTGTTTGAAACCATGGCTAAAATACATTGTGTGGTGCCCCACACACACACGTGGCAGTCCCTAAATCTTGGATGCTTGCCGGAGGGGAAAGGTAATTCCCAATGATCACTTTTTTGTATTGGGGGAAAATGTGGTTCATGGCTCCAAGTGTGTAACTCACTGATAAAGCATTAGCCTAGTATATATAAGGTCTTAGGTCCAATTTCCAGAGAAACACCCTCACCAAACAATGGTTTCTATGCATGTCTACCACTCATAAAAATTTAAATAAAAAGCAGAAGTCTGGCTATCATTAAAGCCATAAGAGTCAAAGTCATTCACAGGTGGTTGAAAGGTGTTACCAGGTTGCCCCAAGACGTGTGTTTAATTAAACCCTGGCCCTTCCTGCCCAGGGTACTGTTCTCTCAGTGTGCAGATGTCGTTCCCCAAAAACTCACACACTCTGCCGATCTGTTCTCTCCAAGGTACCTACCAGGGCCAGTGGGCTGGAGGCATGCGGCACGGCTACGGCGTGCGCCAGAGTGTGCCATATGGCATGGCCACGGTGATCCGCTCCCCACTGCGCACCTCGCTGGCCTCACTGCGGAGCGAGCAGAGCAATGGTAGTGTCCTTCACGATGCTGCCGCTGCTGCTGCAGACAACCCGGCTGGCACCAGAGGTGGCTTCGTGCTTAACTTCCACGCGGATACAGAACTGGGCAAGAAGAAGGGTGGCCTCTTCCGTCGGGGCTCCCTGCTTGGCAGCATGAAACTGCGCAAGTCCGAATCCAAGTCTTCCATCTCCAGCAAGCGCAGCTCCGTCCGCAGCGATGCAGCCATGAGCAGAATCAGTTCCAGTGATGCCAACTCCACCATCAGCTTCGGTGACGTTGACTGTGATTTTTGCCCTGTGGAAGATCATGTGGATGCCACCACCACAGAAACCTACATGGGCGAGTGGAAGAACGATAAGCGCAATGGCTTCGGCGTCAGCGAGCGCTCCAATGGCATGAAGTACGAAGGCGAGTGGGCCAATAACAAGAGGCATGGGTACGGCTGCACCGTGTTTCCCGATGGCTCCAAGGAAGAGGGAAAATACAAAAATAATATCCTAGTCCGTGGAATAAGGAAGCAGCTTATACCAATCAGAAATACAAAAACTCGGGAGAAGGTGGATAGAGCAATTGAAGGCGCACAAAGGGCTGCCGCCATGGCCAGAACCAAAGTGGAAATAGCAAACTCAAGGTATGTAAATACAGGACGGGTGGTTTGGCTTAAGGTGGGGGTGGAGGTTCTCAGAACACTGCAATTTCCTCTATGTCTGCTGATGGTATTACCAAGTAGGTTCCGGTTCACTTAGAGGTGGGGGGATACTGAAAATGATCGACTCCAAAAAAATGAGAGTGAGAAACCATTTTCATAAGGTGTTGAAGGAACGTGGGGCAACCTTTTTCTTCCAAGTTTTGTCCCTAATATTTAACAACCTTATCAAGTTCATTCAGACATCCTTCTAAGTCCAGAAAGTTAATATTATTAAAAGTACCTCTGAAATACTGCCACTGCTTTGTGTGTTTAAAAAAAAAATCCCTTTGTGTAGAAACATACCTACAATATAGGCTATATACTTTCATTACAATATTAAGCTGAACATATTTACAACTCCTCAGTAAGATTATTCTAACCTAGTAGGTTAAAATTCTGTTCATTGAGGCCTTCTAGGTGAAACCAGCTTTGGGAAAGATGCAGAGGTCTAGGCAAGACAAAAGCGGAAAGGGTCAGGATGAAATCTAGAATGCATGTTGAAAAAGCCAGAGCTCCCCCACAGGCACAAGACAGGGGACCAAGGCTGGGAAGGATCGCCCCAGTCTGTGCAGGAAAGATTAGATCCCTGGTGTATTAAAAGGAAGGGGGTAGAGAGAACTTAACATGGACAGATGGGATTCTTACTGTACCAGGGTTGGAAAAAAGTAGAGCAGTCAAGAGGGGGGCTGGCCTAAGCAAGAGAAAACGGGTCAGTAATGGACAAAGGGATGCGGGAGGAAACTGGTCAGTAAGAGATGGGCAAAGGGACGCAGGAGGAACCGGGTCAGTGAGAGATGGACAAAGGGATGCAGGAGGAACCGGGTCAGTGAGAAATGGACAAAGGGATGCCTATTGGTGTGGGAGAGTTCTGTGCTTGAGAAACTAGAAACTAAGCTCCATGGTTCAACATGAGGAATGGCAGCACCTGTTAGAGTTTTATCAAGGATAGGTACCCTCGGTTAAACAGGGTGGTTTTGCTTGGAGGTTTTAGTTTTAGGGCTTAAGGACTGGACATAGTTATGTGTGATGTCAGACATAAATTTGGCGTAGAATATTTAAAATCCTGTTTCTTCTTCAATAGTATTCATTCGCCTTAGTCAGCCGTCCTCTGAAACCACAAAATATTAGCACATCTTCGGGTTTTCATTCTTAGTACTGAATCGGTGAGTAGTCTCACCCCTTTTGGTTGGACCGTAGGAAGTTTACAGTACTTGACCATCTTTTAAAGATTTATTATTTACATATAAGTGTCTGTGAGGTTCTGTGTACCACATGCTGGGCTCCCTAAAGGTCAGAAGAGGATGTCCGGTGCCCTGGAGCTGGAGCAATAGACACTTTGGAGGTACTGTGTGGACGCTAGAGACTAAACCCTGGTCCTCTACTAGAGTAGCACATGCTCTTAATGGCTGAGCCATCTCTCCAGCTCCAGTATTTGAACCTTTAATGCACAAAATTGCTAACTTCATAACTGTTCTTTAATACTTCAAGAATCCTTAATTCATTTTGTTTTGTTTTGAATGCTCCTGTTTTAGGAGCACTGTTGGATGAAAAAGCTCACATTTTTGTATTCTATTAGCACTCACTGTTTTCCTCAACTCCAACTTGTACACAGGGTTTCTCGCGCGCTCTTTCCTGAGCATCCTCTCTCGTAATGGTTTTCTTTGCTAAGCTATAGATCTGCATACATTTCAGGGTGCTTGGCCCCTGCAGTCTCGCTGGCTTTCATGGCCCTCGTTTCCCATTTAGAGCTGACAGTGCATCCTTTGCTTGCTAGGCCCTAATCTCTAATATTAAACACGCTCCTGGAATCTTCCATTCCATCCTCTCCTTACAACAAGTTAGTGACACACTGCAGGCAAGTTCAGGCTTAGTGGATGGGATGTAAACCTGTGCGGAACACTCTTGCAAATGATGTATTCTAACTGTTGGTTTTTTTTTAAATTGTTGAAATTAGAGGAAATCACCTAACTGAGGGGCATACTTGTGGCACAGAGATGATATCTATCCTAACGTCATCAAATGTTTCCCCAAATCAATGCTACATTCTTCTGCTGAAAGACTTTGAGAGAGTAGCATGTAGTTTGGGGACATTGTGTCATATGCTAACATATTGTATCGTATAGTTATTAGTTCAGACATCTTTTGATCTTAGACTTTCGGCAGCTCAGATTTCATTTAAGAACTTAGAAATACATGATGCATTATGCTAAATGAAATAAGCTAGGGACGGAAGGACAAATACTACTTGGTCCCACTTAAATTCATCATCAGTGACTATCATGGGTCCCAGCTTTGCTGCTAAAGAAATCTTAGCTAGCAGAGCAGCTGTGATTATTTCAAGAAGGGAGCACGCCTAGCCACCCTTAAGCTTCCATGCCAATGGCTGACCTCAGCCTCCCTGCTATGTAGATGGCATGCTCTCTGAGAGACTTTCAGACCAGGGAGAATATGCCAGCATCCAAACCCAGACCCCTTGTCTTTCCTTCACCCATGTTTACCTGCTGATGGGACCTGACCGGCTGGGCTTGCTTCACTGAACTGTTCCTAAGAATGGATCCCTTATAGCATTGTGTTTGTTGTATAGATGTCTGTCTGGGTAGAGAAGACTAAAGGTCATAGCTCCAGAACTTGAATGGCTCTGAGGTCTCATCTGATACACTCCCCTCAGATTCAGAGGTAGAGATTGCCCACTGTCCATCTGATTGCCCTGCTCCCAACACTCAAGGACCATTCCCTCAACTCCTTCTCCAGCAGTTCCTTCAGTCTTCCCTGTCCTTTCAGTCCTGTGTCTCATCCGGTCACCATCTACTCCATCGTGGCTCCAGTAATTCCTTAGGTGAGATGCTCAAGAGGCTCCTACTACCTGAGAAAAAATATTGTAAGGAAGAGAAAGCATTTGGTTGACAGAGCAAGCGAGAAGAGATCCTTCCAGAGCCGTACTTCTTTAGAAACTCTGGCTATTCAGGGAGGAGTGCAGTCAAAAGCAGGTGTTAAGCCAAACCTTGGGAAACATCCGTCAGAGAAGAGGGATGAGAGTACAGAGCACTGACCTAAAGCCACTGAGGGTCTAAATGTGCGTTCATGCTGGGGTCACCCTATCACCTCAAGAAGAGGCAAACAGCTAGGTTAGAGAGCTCCCAGGAATGACTCATTCTGCTCGCCTGTCCTGCTGCCTTTCTCTGAAGTTAGTGGGGCTCACTGGTGTGGCTGTCCAGGCTGCGGTCTGGAGATGTCTGTAACCAGGGAACAGGACAAGTAGTTGTGAGGGACTTGTGCTGCCCCCATTGACCTTCTAGTGTCAAGAACAGTCTCTGGACAGGAAATGTTGAGAGGAACACTCCTCCCTACTAGCCCCAGATGTACGACTGTCATCACAGGCGTGGATCTGAGCAGTGCAGAAACAGAGTGTATGAAGGGCCTTGGGCTCAGATGACCTGATGCACAGGTCAGCTTGCTGTGTCTGTCTTCAGAACTCTTGGGCGAATTCCACACTCACCCGTTATAGAGTTACATATGAAAACACCTCACACTTTTCTGTAGGACTTTTAAAGGCTGCTGGGCATACTTTTACAGTTCCATGTCCCCTTTCCACCAGAATGTATCCTTCTTTCAGAGTGGAAGCCTTTCTACTTGGAGCTTTACCCTGGCTCCCCCGGCCGGCTCTTCAGTCCTCACTCATGTCAGTAAGCGTCCACAAGGAAGGTACACAGGACCCCACTCTTTCCACCCCATTTCCATGCTCCTCAGTATGGGTTAAGTTCCCATGTTTATCGAGTTGCCATTGCATGGCAGGCATATATTGATTCCATATGTTCTTCCCATATGGAATGGGAAGAACTGACCCTGCTGGTATCTCTGTTCTCTTCTGTGTCCCCAACATGAGCTTGGATCAGGGGATCAATAGATAGTGAATTAAATTCTCATCACTCAAGGTTTGAATACTGCCAGGGCTTCTGACATGGTTTTGCAGTGCATCTATGAACGGGAGTTTGAAGAAAGAAAGTGTAGTGCTAACATTTTGTTGTGCCGTAATCTGATAGTCAAGGAAGTGTAGAAGAGGCAGAAGTGATGTACCCCTCTTCCTGGCGAAACCAGCCGGACTACAGGGTACGGTTAGGGGAAGAGCTATAAGCCAACAAGGTGTCTCCATTCTCCGTGGGAGCTGAGCTGGTCCAATAATAAACAGTAATTCTTCTACAGATTGGGAAGCCCCAGGCATTCAGTCCACAGTGATTATAATAACATTGGTTCATTCTGTGCATGTGACAGCAACCAAGTGTGAGCGAGCCAGAGAGAGAGAGAGAGAGAGAGAGAGAGAGAGAGAGAGAGAGAGCACCTTTCGTCTCCCAAGAGCCAACGTTTCCTGAATATTCAGCTGTCTTTATTTTATTTGATTTTTCTGAAAGTTTGTCTTGTTCTGCCTCTTTCTTGGGACTGTTTTCTTAATCTGAATCATATCTGTGCCTGACATAGGAAGTCAACCAGGATAGATAGGTCAGTCCTTCATAAAAATCTTTCACTCACTTCACACTTCACTTGTGAGCAGTTAAAATTCAAAGTCACCTGTGAGTCAGTGCATGGTGTGGATCCAAAACAAACTGATTACTACTGATTCTAGCTGTGGGGGTGGGGGAGATTTAGACGGCGAGCTGTTCTTCATTCTGTACCAAGTTGTGGAAAGTCAAGTCACTGAAGTTCTCAGAATCTATTAGAAGAAAAATATTCTTCCTCTTCAGAGTCAAAATGAAAAGTTGGTATCCTGCTTGCTTTTTTTTTTTCTGCTGTCTTAGCAACTTTTGTTTATTCAGTGTTTTTGAAACAGCCTTGCTGCTGTCTTGCCCACACTGGACTTAAACTAGTAATCCTCCTGTCTCAGCCAACTAGTAATCCTCCTGCCTCAGCCTGCAGAATCTTGGCATGGCGGGCCAAGACACCCAGTCTCT